AGCTGACCTTGCAAGGTCAAGAGGTTTCACACACTGATTCCTAATCCATCCCACAGTGTTCCCCTTGACTATCCTAGATGCCCCTGTGTCACACACTCCCCAGTGATGGGGAGGCAATTTCAGAATCACGCGGTTCTCCTAAACGAGCATTCAAAACGCGCACTGGTGAGGAAAGCAGCTAATTTAAAAATAGAAGTAGGCTGTCCAGGATCCCACCACTGTTACCCTTACACTGGTGCAGCACCAGGGGTGGCCAAAGCAGAAGGTGTAGTATTTCATGGCAGCTAAGAAGCATGCAAGTGAGGTGGCCCTTCTGACCATCATGCCAAAGTACCAGTGTATCACGGCCACATTCTTGCCATGTAGCTCAATGCATCGGACACATGCCCCAACACAAATCCCCACTGCTTCATGAGAAAAACATATTCAGAGAACTTGAGAATTACTCATCTAGTCTGAAAAAGACTGTTCAGTTCTCAAGGGTCACGTTGTCTAGATCTCTGGCCTTTTCTTCTGCTCTTCTCTGGATACTTCCACCATGCCTAAAGAGCACTGCTCACAGCAGAAACAGTACACCAGCCAAGCAAATGCTAAGTAGAGTGGAAAAATTATTTTGCATGCCTTACATGCAGACCCCTGTCAATATACTACAACAGAGCATATCCAGCATAGTACTGTTGATTCATAGCCATTTTCTGAACTCTTGCAACTGTCCATCTGTTTTCTGCAGACCTGCTGCCTCACCACTTATTTTACATTTTGATTTGCACAGCTGATTATTCCTGCCCAACCACAATTTAGAACTTGTCCTTAATGAACTGCATCTTATTTATTTTAGATCAGCTCTCCAATATACCACATTAATTTTGAATTCCAATCCTGTGTTCAGACGGTTTACGTCCTCTCCCTGGTTGGTGTCATCTGGATATATTGTATACAGATTCTATCTAAGTCATTAATTAAAATAGTGAATATTTTCAGGCAAACCAGGGTAAAATCCCACTTGATTTATCCTTCTAGTTTGACTATGAATCACTAGTAATTATTCCAAGAACAGCTTTCCAGCCAACTGTGCACCCACCTTGTAGCCCATATTGCCACCTTGTTTACAAAAGGGTGAAAAGCCTTCCAAGAAACAAGATACACTGTTTCTCTGCTTTCAGGGAAATTAGGCTCCACTAACTAGGTACTCTGGAAACAAATCATGTAAATTCATTTAGCATACTGTTATATACAGGGTATTTATTTAAAAAATCAGTTAATTACTTGATTCCAACTTTTTTCCCCAAGTATCTGAGATAAGCTATCTAATTCAAAGGGGAAAAAGAACAACCCAGAAAAGTTTACACTAGGTGCAGGGTTTGCCATTTCACAGCTTTTTTGAACCTAGACTGTCCTCTAAATGTTCTCCAAATGTAACTAACTGCTCAGCCATTACTTCAGCTATTTCACCCTATGTTGCAGAGATCATTAAATAAGCTCCAGTTTGTTCTAAAATACCTATTATCCTATCTCATTAGTTTCTAATCAATTCTGTTCCTGCTGTAGCTGGAATTCTTACCTTTCTCAAGGTCGCAGTCCTTTTCTTGCCACCTGATTACAAGTCACCCTTTTGGCAAGGAATGAGGTAAAAAAACGTCATGAACTACTCGGTCCTCTCTGCATTGTCAGAGTTTTGACATTCCATCTCGGCTAGATCTAGACATTCCATCTCTAGAATTCCATTTCTAGAGGAAACTCAGTCGTCCTCTTATTACTACTGAGAACATACCTTGTTTCTTTGTTATACTAGTTGCATTCTTCTAACGTAGTTTTACATTCATCTCTAGTAACATAATCTAGTTTTCACTTTCTGTATGAGTTCTCAATTTCCAGATCATGCAATTTTGTCTCTTCTTACACTTTTTTTGTTGGGAGATCTTTTATTTGTGCTTTTAAAATTCTTTACTGCGACTGGAAAAGTTAGTTCCAGTAGGAATTACTAGCCTTCCTGAATTTCTCAGGTTTGTTTTCAAGAAATGTTACCTACCAGTTCTAGGAGCTGAATGAAACCTCTTTTCTTTCATATTATTGCTTTTATTCTCAAATTCTCTCTTCTCACCTTCTGAAGAATGATAAGCTCACTTTTTCATGATTGCTATCATTCAATCTGGCTTTTCTCATCACAGGCTCAGCCATCTCCTTCCTAATCAAGCCTAGGATCACTTCCCTCCCATTGCCTTTTCTGCATTTGGTAATCCTGAACCTATTATACTTACTTACATGACCTACTGAAATTAGTATTTACCCAGTAAAGTGTAAAAGCTCTAACTATAAGCTGTTGTTGGGAAACACACAACAAAGTGATTGAATGAGCCCATCACTTGGAACAAGAGCCATCTGCAAAAAAGAGCAGCTTTGGCATCTGTGCCAGTAAAATGAGCATAGACAGGATCAAAATACCTCCTAGCCTTAACTGTAAGCCTTTCCAAATTACAACAATTAGCAAGGTAAAAAGGAGGCTTATGAAATACTCTGAAGGTGGCTACTCAGAGGCATCATCTTCCCCGGCTTCTTTTGCCAGCACTCTCTTCAGCTGTAAATTGAAATGATTACTCTGATTGTTGCAATAGCTGCAATTACTTAGCATGGCTAGATTCAGCATTGACAGTGCACAGGTTTCAGATACCAAAGCTTTTTCTATACAGATTAGCTCCCTTCTGCATGTGGTCATGCCCCCTCTGCCACCAGCAGCTGCTGTTTTCTCCTACAGCTAAACTGGCATTCCAGTAAAACTAAGGAGCAGTATAGTAAGGATTAGAGAAGCAACCATATGCACCTGCCATTACACTTTTATTGCAACTCTTAAATTAACATAACAGAGTTCAGTAAATTTCTCTAAGAACTACATGCTTACTGTTTACTGCTGAATGCATTATATAACAGAACAGGAAGGATCTCCAAAAAGCAAACATGAGTATCAGTTTGATATTAGCTGGAAGAAAGGGAAGTCCTTGCCTTCTCCTCATATAAAGCAATGCTATTTCAACCTTTACAAGTTTCCTGAATGTATGGTGCAACTGAATTCAATAGTTATAATTCTTTGGTACAGCTACCAAGATTTGAAAATGTTTATTAACATCCTTACTGGAGGTCAGCTCCAAAAGAATGTAAGAATTTCTTATGAGAAACCAAGCAACTTTCACACTGTTAAAGCCTCCAGAACAGGTTGAATCTGCAGGGTTGTCTCACCATCTGACTGTTGTCCTGGGACTCCAGAAACCCCAGTTTCATCTCACTGAATGTTATGCACACTGTTTGCCATGTTTCCTCCACCCAGCAGCAGTCACAAGGTTACCAGCTTTCTGCCACTCCAATACCCAAGCACCCTGATCACACTGCCAACAACCCCTACCTTCTGGGAGCTGAGGGATAGCAGATGCTGTGGCAAGAGTGTAAAGCTAGAAAGAAAATAATGTAGTATTGCAAAGGTGCTGAAGGTAGTAAGGTTTTCAGGAAAGGAGAGAGCTACAGAAGGCAGGGCAGGTAAGGAAGAAAACAGATATCCCCACAGTAGGATTCTGGTGGAGAGCAAAGGAGCATCAAAACCCCCCTAGTAATTACCTAAAGGCTGGCAGAGAGTTGCGAGGAAAAGATGCACAAACAGGACAAAAATGGCAGCGGGGAGCCGTGGGAGCGCAGGCGTCCAAGGCAGAGGCAGCAGAACCCTGCAGTGCTCCCAGATGTCACATCTCCCATCAGCACTGGAGCACATGTTGAGAAGATCTTCCCAATTCCTCTCCTTCGAGACACATCTCACTGACACACATGAAAATCATGTTGTAAATCAAAACAACGCAAGATGAGGGAGACGGTTCAAAACTGCACTGTTGCTCCAAACCAATGTGCTGGTGTGGACAGCCAGACACAGAGCGGCCACTCCATTGCAGCCAGAAGGGTGGGACCAGCCTCTGAGGGTGGATCTGCTTTGGGAAAGGACAAAGTGGAAGGCTGCCCACTTTGCTCCTAGAACAGAAAGCAATCCAGGGTAAAGCAGCCTGAGACAGAAAAATGATCTTCAATAGATACAACCATCAATCCATTAAACTTCTTTTACAGGCAAAAATTTTAAGTTGGAAAAATAAAGTAGTTGCACATCATAAACTTTTACTGTGGTACTAATCCATTATCTAGACCTACTAAAGCAGGAGGAATATCCAGTTCATTTTCTACCCACTTCTCTCAGGGTCTCAGCTGGCCAGCAGATGTGGAAAGATAGCAGCAGGATCTTCTGATCCCTGTCTCCTTCCACCTCTCAAATCAGAAACCAGTTCAGACAAGGAAAGCACTGCATGAATTCCAGTGGACTTTACACTAGAGGGAGCTTTCCTCAGAGACACACACCACCTTTGGCATCCTTTCTTTCTCATCACATTATTTTTAATGTTATCTACACAGAAATACATTGGACTCAGGTGAAACAGTTACTGTTTAAACTCTCTGGCTTTGCCAGTTTAAGCACTGCAGCACATCAGTGGTGTGGGATGGGAGTACAAGGAGAAGGTACCTGGCAAGTTCTGCCCAGAGATGTGCTCTGGCTGACAAGATAAAGCTCAACACCGACATGCTTCTGAGAAGCCTCCTGATACGAACTGTGTCCATCTTATGCTCTCGCCAAACTTCCTTGTTGAACACAAGAGCAACTTAACAGACTATGTTTTATACTGACCCAGGAGGACACTTATTTTTAAGCTGTAAATAAGTACTTCAAGGAGGAAAGTTGAGATACATGTTCCCTAAAGCTTGTGACTATCCATTTCAGAGGGCCTGAAATACAGACAGTTGTGTATCTCACTGTTAATACAAGCGCTGAACTGTTCCTCAAGTGAACTGTTTTAAAATACGATTTAAACTGAAAGTACTAGAAGGCACTAATGACAGCCAGGACCTATTCAATTTATCTTCTAAACTCTACTAAACTCTCCCAAAATTATACACTGAACTAGAACAGAAGTCCTTACCTGTGAAAGCATTTGTGGCCTGAAAACCAGCTTCCTGCATACTGCTCACCCAGCGAAGCTTGAGATTCCCGTCTTAACCTGTCCTTACTGGAGACAACTGCTGAGCTTAAAGCTGTCAAGTCACTTCCATCTTAGCTTGTCAGAGTCCATTTCTCTTTCCATTCCTGTATTTGGCACCATCCAGTTCCCACCTGATCCCAGGTCTTTTGATCTGTAGACAGAGGGTTCTGCACTGAACCTAAGTAGGAAGCGTTGGACAGTCCCATCAACCAGCCAGCCAGAGGATTTGGGCCATGATGAATGTGGAAATGAAGCGAATCGCCTGCCAAGACTTTATTTCCCTTTTACAATGAAGTTCTAATCCTCTGTTCATTCAGCACCATTTTTTCAGGTCTTGGCCAACGGTGATGTTCAATTGTCTCTCCTCTCTTGTGTTCCTCTATCCTCAGGCACGTTCACTGAGGAATTAAAAAAGAAGAGATTATGTTTCCTGATGACCTGTAGCAACACTAAAATTAACAGACTCCAGGGAACAAAAACCCAAAACACATTATCAGGGATTGATTGTACACATTAAAGGAAATCTTCAGAAGGCAAATCTTGCGATTTTGCTGAGATGCAAAGTGTGACCACACAGCTCTTTGAAGTGCAAAGAGGAACAGTGCTGAGGGTGTCATATGCATCTCTGAGAACATGATATAATTTACATTTCAAAAGCCATATTTAGCAGAGATGGGGGCAGCAATACAATAACAAAATTGCAGTTAAAAGGGAAGAGGAAAAATACTCAAGGCTCTCAAGTCTAGTCTATTCAAAACCACAGTGAGATTATTAGCATTTCATGTATAGCTGCTCCCCTTCTTTTCTGGAGCAGGAAAAGGGAGTGCTGTCTGCTAACACTATAATATGGTTTTCTAACAATCTTCTGAGGTTAAATACCTTTGTATGTCTTGCTGTCAATTATCTATTTAAAATCTATTTAAAATCTCAATTGTGAGACAGATGACACTATTTGGGTGTCTTTAGACATTAGGCTAAGGTTAGAAACACCCACAGGCTACACAAGAAAAGGTGGTTATGTTTTTCTTGATACTACTACTTCTGCATGGCAGGGATATATGCAACTCACTGAAAACTACAGTTGTTGCACATCCAGCTTTTTAAAAACAGGATATATTTACTTTTGTAGGCTGAAAGCAAATAGCAGACAAGTACATGTTTAGGGAGGTGACTGTATTAGAGAACAAGAAAGAAAAGAGGACTTGGAGGAGAATCCATTCACCCCCAGTCATCCTGTTACTTCACGTAATAATGCTTGGCTCACTATCTCCAAACTCAGTGACACAGGCGGGTTCAGGCTGAAACTATGTCTGTGACGACCTTATGATCTACTAATGGATTTTAACTAATGAGTCTAGCCAGGGCTTGCAGTGCTGGATTGAACCCAAGGCCCATCTCCTGAAGCAGAGGTCCCAGTGTCCCTGTCAGTTCCAGCACCCACTGCTTCGGAGAAGAGTGCAAGACCAGGCTCAGTGGGCAGGTATGAATAACCCACCAACCCACTCCCCAGCTGCACTTCACCCTTTTCCCTGACTTGTAAAATCTGAACCCTGAAGCATAAGGCTGAGTATCTCAGATGGCCCAGAACTTCAGAGAAGAGTCTCATGCTCCTTTGGGCACTTCCTACTTTGCAGGCAGCTCCAAGTGCACACCCAGTCAGCTCAAGAAGGCTTCATTAGGGCCCTTTCCTGGGGGACATAAAGGATCTCTTCTCAGGTGTGTCACTGAAACCAAGTAAGCCTAGCACCTGATAAACATAATTTTCCTCAGAACACACTGAATGAAAACTAGCTGCTAAAAGACAAGTTTTCAGTCTTAATGATGCTGCTGCTTTTTTTTTGCCCAATTTTGTTACACCAGTATTACTGAGGAGCACACGTTTTTGTCTCAAAACACAGCACAGGACTGACTGATTAGTTACTTGTATTGAAATCTAGTCATTTGCATTCAAATCAAATGAGGTTACAGAACAGATTTAAGATGTTTTCCCCTTTTTTCACACAAATATTTCAACATAAAAGCGGAGAAAGTAGAAATTAAGGAGGAAAAAAAAAAGAAAAGAAAATGTCTTTACATGTAATATCTTCTATCACAAAAAGCTGCACAAAGTAGTCTTTAAAATGCTATTATTCCTGAATGTCAAGATGCTTTTTCAGCCCTTCAGAGTGCTCTATGTAACTAATACCCATTTCATATCAGGTTATTTTATTCTAAATACACACAACTGAGCAAGTGTAATATACATGCATCGCAGCACATACTTCTTTCAGATGTTAGCATTGTGGTAACTATTCTGTAATGACTACAAGTGGATGCTGCAAGCATTTCCCAAGCTTTTTCTCTAGAGGCCTGAGCTGCTTCTGTATTTATAAGAGCAGGTCCATGTTTACATTCACATTTTCAGCCTTAGAACTCTTGATCTTGGTTTATAAATCCACAATTTTGATGCCTTCTGTTTTCATCCTTTTAATTTCTCTCCACATCTTAGAAATACTCAAGAGATGTGCACTAATACCTCAACATCCAGGAAAATTCTCTTCTTGTTACATCTTTGTATTAGATAGAATAAATTTCTTATTCTTAAGAGTATAAAATACTTTCACCTTCTCAAAAAATAACTTTTTATAAAAAGTAGAATTATTTTCCATACCTTCAACAGTTCTGCTAAACTAGTTAAGAACCCAGCAGTGCTGAAGAAACTCTATGGCACAGGTACTTTCGGCATTCACTGCTTCTTCAGCTAGGAAGATGTAATTTTAACACTACAGGACACTGAAACACAGAGTTCATTCAGGCCTTAAAATTTAGAAGGCGATGCACTGCAGTCTCCCTTAAGGACTCAAGTGACAGAAAGTACTAATATCTCTTGATTGCCCTAAGTGAGCATTTTCTATCACTGCAAAAGACTCTTGTCCCTTGGCAGATAATGAACTCGGTGGTGGCTAGCAGGACAGAAGACAGTAAACGGAACAAGCTGCTGGGGCTAGCCTGTGCAGTGCTCAGTGCTTGTTGGGCCTCTTCACAACTTAAACCCAAATTCACTACTTATAAAATACTTCACAGTTACTGCTAAGCGAGCTATTTAACGAGTATTTTCAACATGCAGACTTTTCATCAGTCATATCTGCACAACAGTTTCAGGTCTCTCAGTTCTAATGCGGTCAGGGAAGACAAAAAAGCAGCCTAGCTGATTCCACAGTAGGCCAGGAAAAAGGCAAATTCCATTTTTAACAGCATGTAGCATTATGACCTTTCTATTGCACTTCGCATTATCCAGAAATTTCCATTAAAACAGAACTGATAAAGAGAGGAGTCTCGTGTTTGTTTCCTAACAGACCGGCATGTTTGCATGTACAGAATGGGCCAGGACCTATGCTGACACATTTTGGTATGGCCCAGCAATGAAGCTGTACGTTTATCCTTTTATACCAGTGTGGTGCAGAAGTGTTAAAACAACCTGCTTGAAGGATCAAAAAGTAGAAATATGTGTATCTGAAAAAGAGAGTGAAAAGTAAATAAAACTGATAGAACTACAGTAAGGTATGATCTTGGATATAACTATTATACTTTTCACAACCGGCAGAGACCTCTGTGGGAACATATCCTGTTACACTGATCAGATGGCAAAGAGAAAACGTAGACTAGAAAGACTAGAGATTTTCTTTTTGCTCCATCTGTTGCCTCCTTTTTGGTTGCAACAGGAACTCTGCTTCTACTTTTGCTTTCATTCATCCACTGCAATCTTACGCGATTTTCTGAATCAAACCAAAGCAAAACATTGTGTTTTACAAATATATAGTTGTGCTATAAAGATTTTCGGCTACTGTGCACTTCAGTGATTGAATACTTAGAGAAAAATCCAATCTATTTGTTTTCATCCTCACTGCTTTTCTCAGATTTGGTCCTGGGAAAGACACCACCATCTGAACCTCACACAAACTACAAAAAGAAAATATTTTGACTATTTAGCACCTTATGTGAGTTACATGTTCTCATGGTATATTTAGCTAGTCAACCTGCTATTCCTCGTTTCGAAACATTTGAAAATGCATTATTAACTGGTAACTGTAAAAAGGAATCTGAGAAAAGTAACCAATAAGTGTCATTAAATCCTGAAATAATATCTCAATTTTATGAAGTATTGTACAATCATCAGTCAGGACCAAGCTTGGAGTAACTTGCACTGAAAGAAGAAGTGAAATACTGTTTCTTCCAAGACTGGAATCTCTGTAATGTCTTGAAAAACTCAAAAGCATTGGCTGACATGGAAATGCTGCAGCTTGGGGTTTTTATCAGTGGGTTTGGGTTTTTTATTCCCATTTCCTTTCACTATATACAGTCTGTTTCCCTGGCCTAGTGCTGTTAGTTGCCACACAGGCATTAAGAACTCCCTGGATACATTGTCAGAAGGCTTACAGCCTGTTTCCTGAGATACCCTTCGCACAAGATGTCCTAAAGGACAGCTTTTCACTAAGGTGTTTAATAAATTTCCTAACAGGAGGTAGAAGCTTTAACAGCAGTTAGAAACTTTAACAAGTTTCCTAACAGATAGTAGAGTAAGCGTACAAGTTTACATTTTTGAGAAAGTTACTGAACAGCTTGTGAGCTGTGGTTTAATTTAACTTAATCGAGGGAGGACTCGGTGCCTGAATTCCTAGCTTTCAGGTGAAAGAAATGTAAAAGGGGGGAGAGCCTGAGCTAACGTGCACTGTTTTTGCTAGGGCTCCTGCAGAAGGCAGGTGCTGAATCATCAGAAGTAAATCATAGAAACATATAATAGTTTGGGTTGGAAAGGAGCTTCAAAGGTCATCTAGTCCAACCCCCCTGCAATGAGCAGGGACATCTTTAACTAGATCCCCAGTGGAAGCTCGGCCACCACCAGCATCAACCCATTCTGCGCTAAAAGTAGGACAGAAGCAACGCTGGCCAAGCTGGCAGTATGAGTCCAGCTCAATGAGAGATTTAAGCGTGTCTCCAAGGAAAAAGTAATCTGAGTGAAGCCAGGACAAGTACTAAACTATCCATATGCTTAAACACTTCACTGAAATAAGGCTTAAACTTCTATGAGTTAAGGCAGCATAGACTTGGATATATATTTAAGAAGTTTCTAGCGGAAAACTACTTCCAAAATTTTGTTTTTATACAATGGTGTTTATAAAAATATCCTTTAAAGTTTGCTCTAACAATTATAGCTCACCTCTCTAGCCCCTTTTAGATTCAGCAAATTTCTGGGCTTTGGTTTTGCTTCTCAAAGAGACTTCTAAACCAGATATATTAATATCTACCAGTTACAAGTACTCTTTTTAGATGGCAAGGCCTGCATTTTACTGTGTGATCCTCATTTATTTTATTTTCTTTTATCTAAAATTTGTCTTTTTTCCAAGACATCACTGCACCA